CCACAAAAATGTACTTGCAGAGTAACAAATGATTGTACGGCAAAAAGCCAGCTTTTGTGCAGCTTTAGTTCCAATGACCTGGATACCAAAGTGTTGCCAGGTTTAATAAACTCATCCATCCATGTTGTGGGATTAAATCGACTGTAATAAAGTCTGTTTTGACTTAATCTACCTAAATCCTTTGAATACTTGAAGAGTCATTGATCATCAGATTTTCCTGAGTTTTATTCTGAGAATGTCAGTCAACCAAACTATACGGGCCAACGTCTGATTTGTGAGCCACCTTGGAATGGCCCAATAAACTGTTTACGTTGCACAGCTCATGAATCCATCTGATATTGACAGACATTGATGAAATTAAACACACAGAGGATGTTTGAAATCACTAAAATGACCTGAAAATCCCAGCAAATCCTTGTTAAACCGTCAATCATTTCAAACAGGAAAGGGAAAGAAAGGTCTATTTATACATCGGTGTACAAAAGATGAATGATTATTGAGGCTTTCTCCAAAATGGCAGCAGAATATGTCACGAAACAAATCATACGAAGACAATTTTGTATGTGTACCCTTGGTGTAATTGATCCAAACACCAGCAAAGCAACTTAATTTCAGTCTCCAAAAACATTGACATTTGCAGTATAGTGCCACCAGGAAATTGCTCCCAAACGTTCATAATGGACATTATAGTTCTATGAGTCATAGAGTACATAAACAGTAAGCTTAGTATGTAAAGCTTTGTGTGTATCCATGCAAAAGGATGGTTATTTATAATAAAGTTTGACAGAAAGGAAACTATTCTGTTATTAAACATGGAAAACGTGTAATTTAACAAGAAGGTGCTGTCTTTCACATCCGAGATGAGTGATTTCAAGTTAGGTTTCAGGGATTAACACTGACGAAGACAATTTACTGCTGAAACAAATAACATGAATGTATTCGAATTATCACCGTATTTCTGCTGATATTTGATTTCAATTGCACAAATAGAACAGGGCTAGTGTCTTTCTGGGAATTAAAACAAAAGTAAAGTTTCACTTTTTAATTGATGAACAATTGAACTTGGGTAACAAATCTCTCTTTCAGACACTGTCCAAATTGATTCGCTCATCTAGAAGGTGCAGTCGGGTTTTCTTCAAGTCTAAAGCCAATTCTCCTCAAACCTGGTTTACTTTGGAGGTTGGAGCTGGTACCCAGTTTGCTTTTTTTGGCACAACTTTTAGTCTGAGGAATAGCTGTATTACTTTGTGAGAGAGGCATTGAGTGCTCTGATTTTGTATATCAAGCTCTGAAACAATGCTGGTATTGTGAATGAGTCAGGCCTGGGCTGGTTCACTTATAACTGATTGGTTTGGTGGAAAAAGAGAAATAGAGCAGAGGTGCAGTTCTGTTTTCTGTTCAGGGCCCATCAATATTTTATGGCTGATGGGTACTGGTAAAATACAACTTAGTCCCAAATGTATGAAGTGTAAGAAAGAGGTTTATTGTGTCAAGGAATGCGTAGCTTTAAAATAGCAGTGTAATGAACAGCATGAGCAGAAGTTTTCACAAAGATAAAAAAAAAAAAATACACACAGCTTAAAAACAGCAGGTTTCCCAATACTGCCAATAACTATTTTCCACCAAATGGCATTAAAATGATGACTATCATCAGTATAATGGACAATAACTTTTTGTGGGATTGTAAAAAAAATCTGATTTTGTTTCGCAATATGTGAAAATATCAGAAAATGAATAAATGTTGAGCCATTAAAGCGTTGTTGAAAACAGTTTCATGTTGCTTTAGCTGCTAACTTGGTGCCATAAACATAAAAAACTATTACCATCATATTATCATGTACAAAGACCTGTGAATGTTTTTGTGTGGGCAGCATGACAAACTAACACAACTAGCTATCAAAATTTCTATTTCTATTTGTGTAAAGTGATATGTGTGTTGATGTTTCACAATATCCTACAGGCCATTTTCACTTCAGCACCACACACTTGTCCAAATATGATCACGTCTGGCTCCAGAAAACCCAATGGTGACATCCAAACTGCTAAACATGAGGCTTCAAAAGGCAGTAACAAACCAATAGATGCTACGTCCATTAATTATAATAATTAATCTGTTGTGAGGGTGCAAATATTTTCTTATTACATCAAATGCTCATCATAGGCTTATGAGAATTTTGTTACACAGATATTCTGAATGTTCCAGATGGGTTAAAAGTGTGATCATCAGAGTCATTTGGATTCATCCATTAGACACCATGAACCATCCGCAACCCAAAATGAAGCCAAACAGCACACACTGTATGTCTATGCCTGTTCTCTCTCTGAATAGTACAGCATTGATTTCTGCTGTTTCTTTCTTAAATACAAAATAACAAAGTGTCAAAACAAATTACACAACACACCAGAACCTATTTTGATATGTCTGACCAATCACTTGAATGAACATCAAGTTCACTTGGATTTATTTCACTCTTAGACTCAAAAGCTGTTGAAAGGGTTGAAAAGGTTTCAACGGATTGTTCAGAGTTGTTGACCCTCATCATGAGTTCCCTGCCACAATTTTTTCTAAAGCCTCTGTTCCATGACCGTTCTTGGGCTTCTGCGAGAAAAATAAAAAGGCCAATACAAAGTTTTTCAGCAAGACTAATGTTTGCCTTGACAAGCAACATAAGATCTCTCAGCACTTTAGGACTGACTTCGCCTCATATTCTGACAAGAGTTCTTAAAATAAATGGTCACGTTTTTTGGTCTTAATTCATTTCAACACATCAAAGCTCTGAAAACCTGTTTGACCGGTTCCGATAGACTTTGTTTAGTTATTCTTTCAATTGTGTTTCATTAAGTGAAATGTAAGAGTGTTTTTGTTGGCATACTTTCCAAAGAGTTTGTATGGTTATGGCTAAAGTTGGGTTGTAAGGGAATCTCTTTTCACACACTATAATCAGAATGAAAAATATTGTGATGAATATTGTGAATCATGATGATATCTGAAAATAACGTTGGAGCTATTTTGTCTGCACCACCAACTCCCATGTGATTGTTTTTTCTCAGTAGCTGTCAAAAATCTACCACCAAAATCAGGAGGGCGTCGTATCGCCCCACAAAATATTCCTCTTGGAGTTGTCAAGTGTCATTTCAAAGTGAGCAATAGCGGAGAGCCTGCCAAGTGCAGTAAACTCCACTTCTGTTTCCTTTAGAACCTCAAAAAACCAACCTATGGAGAAAGCAGGGTTGATGTGAACCATAGTAAAGGGAAAGTCAAACTCCACCTGTGGTTACATACTTTAAACTGTGCCTGGACCCTTTGCTGCCAGCGCCTGACATTATCCTGGAAAATGTCCAAAAGTAGTAGAGTTGGAGGCTGAAGTGGAGCCAAAGAGTGGGATCAAATCGAGGACTAAGAATCATTCAAAGAGTTGTGCAACATAATCCTGTATTTTGCACCATACTTACACATCTGGAGTGTCCCAAATCAGCCAAACACCGTGTAAAAGGCATTGGTCTACTGTTTCAGTTTTACCCATACTCATAGAGGAATATAAGACGCACTTTTACATTGAGTATGCAACACTGCGGTAACAAAGCTCCGCCATCACTACACCTTTTTACCTTTCCACATACACAGCGCCGCCCTGATGTTTTACGGTGACGCTGTTTTGCCCCTTTTACGTCTCGGTTATATGCCTCAGCAGCGGAACGTCTTCATCCCACCATTAGGATTTGGATAGCTGTCAACATTGACAGCTAGGTGCAACAGGGACATAAAAGTCCCAATTTGAACTGGCAATGTAAAAGAGGCTATTGAAGAGGACAGAAAGGCAGATAAAAAAGAAAAGTTAATTAAATGACCAGATGAAAGATGAAAGGAGTCTTTTCGTACAAGCTTGGCGTTGGAGGTCAGATCAGGTTATTTAGATTAGTTCAATTATTATCCCTGTTTTGCATTTAAAGGCCTGTGTTTTAGCTGCTGAAAAAAAGCCCAGTGTCAGAAAGTCATTGTTGGAAGAAACTTTTGACACCAAAGCAATTAATGCCAACCTTCAGAAACGTTCACCAACCCCATAACTATTCTGTAGCAATAAAGAACCTCTAATATGAAGACAGAATGCTCTTCTTTGGCGGTATCGGGGTCAAAAGAGTTTTCAAACTGATTTACATAATAACTCTTCACTGCATTGTTACTGCCTGAAATTGAATCTGGATATTTTCTGTGATGCAGAACCAGACGGGGATGATTGTTCCTCTTGGTTACAGTAGCTTTCCATCTTTTCTATCCTGACAGGTCTTTTAATGTTGAGTGGAAAGAGCAATTTTCCTTCTTAGACATTATTCATTTCTGCACGCTGACAAGCCCACCTCAGATGTGGAGCTTTCCCATGAACTACTGTGTAACCAGGAGATCTTCAATTTTTAATTTCCAGTTTATTGAAAAAAAAAAAAAAAAAAAAAAAAACGCCTTACGATTGGACAACATTGTGAAGGCAGATACTTTTTTCAGGTACAGAGCAAACAAAAAGTCTGTCGCAGAAGGGGTCATTTTGGGAGCGATGCTACCAATTTTCAAACTGAGTACCACCTGCAAACAACACGACCCAGTCACGTCTTCAACATGTAAAACCTGGCGAAGCGTGTAATTGTTTTTACTCCTCCAGCTGAGCTTTCGCAGACTGATAGTGTTGACAGGAACAGGCAAACAGGAAACATTGTGTAGATAAACAACTTATAAACCAGGGCATCCGTGCTGAAAGGAAAGAATGGGGAAAAAGCAACAGGGATGTCTGCATACAGCAAACTTTTGTGTCGGCAAGACAGTGTTACCCTTTTCCTCTTTAGCTTATGTATAAATACTTAACGGTGGAAATATGCCATTTCTAGTCTAAAGACCACGTCTCTTCCTCATCATGCTGCAGCATAGTTTGACTGTGGGAAATACTCAAAGAATATGGAACTTTTACAAACTAATTACTGACTTAAGTATATTATATTCTTCTTTTTTGAAGGACCTCCAGGAAAGCGTGGAAGAAGAGGTCGCGATGGAGAACCTGGTATGTACATTTGTCTGAGTTTTGTGTGTGTTTATGTGTGTGTGGCCACAGATCACAGGCGTCTCAATCCAGAAACATTCAAGGAATAATTCAGTAGGACATCAGCAAATCATACTGCACTTACAATCACATAAAAGTACACTGTATATCTTCAGAGGACAAAATAGGTTATAGATATGTAATTTGTGGCCTGGCGGTTTCAGTGTTCGCTTGGATTGTTTCAGCCTCAGTGCTATAGAAACATGAGATTTTCAGAGTAAAAACAGGAGACAGTGCAGTTTGAGAAGGTCAAAATAATAGCCCAAGTTTTTTGGAGCTGAGAATATACTTTTCTTAATTCTGAGACATTTTAAAACCCTCTTTTTTTTCTGATCTACTTATACTCATTTTACACATCATCTTTGTGAGGCTTCAGAACTTCACCAACAAACTGTCAAAATACATTCAGGATCTCTCCTCCTCCTGTCACACACATACACACTCTCTTGAGCTGACTCAACAAAGCTGGCAAGTCAATCGAGGTCTCGAATCTCTAGGAAAAGGACGTGTGCAGCGACACTCCCACGGACCAACGGTGTCGCCACAAATTGAATTTGCAGTGAGAACATGCACTTGGCAGGGAGCTCTGCTCACCTGATAGTGAAAGTGCTAATGGGCTCTAGAGCGCGGCGCCTTTCGTGAGATCCCGGCATAGCAGAGCGCAGCCAGTGCCCTGGAACAAAAGAAGTAACCCTTGTAAAAAGAAATGAGAGTGACGGCGCAGAGCAAGGTCCCAGATTTAAGTAAGGTGGAGTAATAAGGGAGCAGTTTGGTTTCACAGCCTGAGAAACAAACAGTTTGTGAGTGAAGGAAAATCACTGCTGGCTTTGCCAACAAATCCAGACACTACTTTTTCAAGTCAAACAGATCAGATGAGGTAAGATTTTTTAGCATCAAAGACTCTATTTCTTCTTCCTTTTTTTGCGATTTTTCCAAATTCATTTATAATCCTGTCATGGCCGCGTTCCACTGCTCAGTCAACTCTGGCTTTCTGCGTTTCTCTGTTTTGCTTTGCATCATTCTAAGGTCACCTAGTGTATGGATTGGAAGCCTGATGAAAAAGGAGAAATCAAATGACAGATAGACAACAGTTCAATGTTCTGGTTGGCTGCAGGACTGATACACCGCCAGCTTTCGTTGATGCAGTGCATAACTTTCCAATGAACATCCCCTGTGCCAGCGTACTTCAAATGGCACCATTGTGCCAGCAAAGTTTTGTTTTCCTCTTTCTGCTCAGCCAGAGCTAATGCGAATGGCTTCCTCTTGACAAAGCAATTGGAAACAAGCAATCATACCCAGTCACAACGTCTGGACTGGAGTGGTCTATTAAGGGAGGACAATACTGAACAATTGGGATGACAGGCATTACCATCTGTGTAATAACTCTAACTACTGTACAAAACAAGGCTTTAGTATGTTGCCACATTGGACGTTTTGGGCTCTGTTTGTGTACTTGACTAAATCCCTCACCTGCAAAAGAGGCTGTTTTTATTCATGTCGTGAACTATCAAGCTAAGCAGTGGACACATCCTTTCATCCGATGTTTACTGGTTATCAGCAGCTTCCACAAAAACACTTGAAATGGCTGCACAAAGGCAATGCTTGGAAAGTCATTGAACAAAGAGTGTAATTAAAAATGTTGTGCTCAAACAGGAGTACTGTATAATTACATGCAGTTTCAGCCGAGTTATTTCTGCTACATTTACTTTTTTGCCAGCCAAAAGAAGTCAAATCAGTATTCTGTTTGAAACTCACGGACACATTCAAACTAATGAATATGATGGCACCATGCTGCATTAAGGAGACTGGAGTCACACTCACTTCTGCAGGATAAGAACTATTTAGGAGACATTTTTCATAGGACTTAAAAAACGTAGACCTTGACAGGCACAGCAGGGCTGTGTACATTCTGCGCTGTAAGCCTTCTGCCAATCCAATTTCCCTCTTTTAAGTTCCCAGCACTGGTAGATGTTGAAGGGACACATATTTAATTCATGATGCGCTCAAACCAAAAGTAACTAAACCCCAGCAAATTTCCAACAAATTCATGGTGAGGTGTTTTGCAGTTTACTCATCCTCAAAGGTGAGGGGAAGCTTCTGCCCACACTGGGCTGCAACTGACAGGGGGAACAAACAGGAAAAAGACATGGTGATATTTACCCCTGCATTTAAATGAATGGGACACTTCATCAGGATCTCATGTTTATTCACTGGTAACATATGGAAAGGAAAGTTTGGCATGACAGTTAGGGATGAAAAAGCTTTTGTAAGAGTCAAAGACATACTCTGAAACTGTCCAAACACGAGGTCAATGCTGGAAAGTGTTAAAAGGATCCTCACATATTTTCCTTCTGGGAATAATCAGGACTGTTACTCATGTAATACCTGCCTTTACAAAAGGAAAAGTTGATGCTTAAGCTGTGCCGGTCGAGCATTAAAACCTGAAAGCTCCGGTGAGAAGTTTTTAGATGGTCATTCAACAGACTGAAATGAATTCTGATTCCTCTGAGGAGGAAGAGGAAGAGCTGCAAAATCGAACAAGAACATCAGTGAGAAAATTATTAATTCCTATAAAGCTATATTCAATGCCTGCAACAGTTCTGTGGGGTAGTTGCCAGGCAGGACAACAGGACGAGATTATTCAAAAGAAAACATTACCTAATTATTGACAGGACAAAATCAGGATAAGAGACTTTTTGTTGTTGTTGTTGTTTTTTTTACCACAGAATCACCACTAACCTAAACCTCACCACAGGAGCTTTAAAGTCGTGCTTCAAGAAACGCAGATTCTTTTGTAGAAAATGCTTTAATCTCTTCTTTTAAGGCCACAAAACTTTAAAAGCCCCATTACATTTTCTCTACGTTGCTAAGGCCATTTGGGGCATAACCTAAACTTCAACACTCAAGGGATGAATCATTAAAGCTGTTCAGTGGTTGTCCAGTGAGCTAAGTAACCTTAGCGATGCGGTTTTGATTGGCTAAAGCTAGAAGGTGACAAATCTTGGAAGAAATTACCACAGGTGCTGTTGTGAGAACAGAAAGTGAAACTCCGTCTGAAACAAGAGCTTTGAGGCTTGATTATTTAACAATATGTCACAGACTATTTAATTTAACATGGATTATATTCCAGTAAATAACTCTTTATTGCCATCAAATGTAAGAAATTGAACGTATACCTTTTGAGGAGGCTGTGAGGTGCTTTGAAGCATGTTTCAAATTTCTAACCCATAATTGCCGGTTGAAAACTTCATACTGAGCCATTCGACACAGTGGGACACGTCAAAAAAACACACAGCGGAGCAGGTTTATTAAAAGCTAAGTGGTCTACTGTAACTCAACCATCCATAAAACAACACTACAGAAGTGCAGCCCAGCGAGCCTCAAACACACTGCTCCTTAAACGCTCCAGCTGCTGGAGCCATTTGCACTTTCCCCCCTTCATCAAGAACAGTTCAAGGATAAAGGACTTGTAAAGAACAAAATAATTCTTTCATTTAAGGGTTAAAGCAGCTGGGTACCTTTTTAATAAGAACCTAAAGACCTAACATGATTTGCAGAGTTGTGAAGGTCCGTGGAGGGAGTTGGCACACGGTCCTTTGTGCAGCAGTAATTGGGTAAAAGACGAGTGTCACCTCACAAATTCTTGGGGGTATTTTTTTTAACAAGCTACCCCTTGTAGAAGTGAAATTAGACCCACTTTCTATGTAAAAAGTGGTCATCCCAGTTGGTGGCCATTGTTGAGCCAACTGCATGGGAAGTAGATACATAAAAATCGTGTGTATTGCAAAGCTGTTACATACAGGATTTTTTGAGTTGGATATCTGTCCATTGTGCATAGTCAGTAAATGCATCATGGTAAAGGATGCGTCTTTTTAAATGTTCCTTCCCCAAGAAATTAACCCTCAGCAGGAGTCTAATCGAGTTATTTGGGATATGTGGTTTTAATGGAACATTGGTGATTTGAGTCAGTTTGATCGCTGATTGAAAACATACTAACGCACTGTTTTTTCCTCTCTTTCAGGACCTCCTGTAAGTATGCCTGCTTCACATCTTCTCCAACTGTGGTAACCATGGGAAGGTAAAACCTTTAACCAAAATAACATATGACACAGTCACATGAAGAGCATTTTTATATGAAAGTGAATTATATAACGGTCACAGAAAAGATTAAAAGACTTTGAGAAATACACTTTAGACTGAGCTGAGAGTTGAAGCAAAAACTATGTATCACTCTTATTGTAAACAAAATACAAAACAACAACAAGTAACTAGTAAACATAGCTTAGCATAAACACAGGAAACAGGAGGAAACTCCAAAGGTGCAATTCCATCCACCACATCTCAAAAGCTGGTTGGCTTAGTTTGGTAGCAAATACAAGTTTATAAAAAAAGCTTTGATTTCAGCTACACATGGGGTTTTTAACCAAGCAGCAACCTCTGAGGTTACAAAATGAAGCCAATACAGACTTGAAATAAACTGTAGTTCCTTGAGTGTCCACTTGAGGTTTGCTGCAAAAGCCAAGGAATTCCCTTAAGTTCTATGTTAGGAGAGGTAAGAGCCATGCTAGCGTTGTAGCTCTGTTTTTCTCCCAGTCTTAATGCTTAACTAGGCCAAGTGACTAGTGGCTTTGGATACATACACTCTGCAAGAAAACAAAAAAAAAGTGAAATTCCCACAATGCCAAACTATTCCTTTAAGTATGACACAGACATCTAACAGTGAACATGGTAATAGCTACAAAGTATGAAACAGTTTGTAAAACTGATGTAAAAGACATCTGATTATGACAAATGTGCTACCAGAAATCTCCGTTTTACATCATAGACCAACTCTATTATTAAAAGAATCTCTTGATCCGAGCCGTCCCCTAATAGAGAGCCTCTTCTCTGTCATTTGGGCTGTCTGGTTTGTAATATCCCCGCTACCAGCCTCCATCTCTGCCAGCTCGCTGCACCCGAATAGATTATCTCACCTCATTACACTGCCGGGTGATCACAGATGGAAAACTTCAGAGTTCCCCCCAAAAGATGAAGACAAACCCACACATACACAAGCACGGGGGAGTTTGTGACAGTTCTCAGTACAAGCAGGTCAAGCGTGTATTTGTGTGCTCTGTTAGAATTATTTATAGTCCAGAGGCAAATGTGATTGAATAGGTATATTATTGTGTGCTGACTGAGCTGTAAGAGTTGTAAGTTAATCCTCAGAGCCTTCTCAGGCACTCGCTCCTGGGGTTCTGGGACCTAAGTAAGTGCAGGTGGTCTTGTGTCTCAGCCTCTCTTAATAAAATCATACTGAGAAGAGCGGAACAAAGCCGAGAAGAAGTTGTCCCTGAAAAATATGCCAGTCAATGTATAGGATGACTGTACTTTTGGGATTTTTCCTTCAGGTGTGACATAAATCCAGTGCGCAAATCACTTTCTGATGAAGTCATGATAGGGAGCAGAAGTGCTGTAAATGTTTGGTAGAGGGGGCTAGTTTTACTGTTGGCAAAGCAACCAGACTTAAGCAGACCTGCGCTGAACAAAAAAAAAAATCTTTATTTACAGGACAGGCTGAAATCTGGACGCTTGACTGCATTTCTAAAAGCAGAAAAGTCCATAAAAATGCAACGATCTGAGAATGACTCACCCGATGGTCACCAAATCTGTTCCCCAAATAAAAAAAAATCCTTTGCCAATTCCTTAAAAAAAAAAAAAAAAAAAAAATAGTAGTAAGTGATCGCATGTGTTTTTTCATTTGGTATGCCCACCCGGGGGATGGCAAAGGATATGTCGCTATGAATATTCAGCAGCTCCCCACCATAACTCTGCGAACACTGCGTAAATTGTACACAGCCCTCAGAGCCAAACAAACCAACCGCTGCTTAAACCATTACAGATCTCTGTGACTTTATCGTTGCTCAGCCGCTGATGAATGGACGGAGACCTGCGGTTGCGGTAACAGGGAAAGAAAAGGTCTCCTAAGACGAAAGTCGTCAGGGAAGATCCTCGCTCGCTGCTTGTGATCGGCATTTAGAGATGGAAAAGTGATTTGTTTTGTTGTGTTTTTACGCCTACTTGGGCTAGTTCGTCAATCTTGCTTGGGATCATAGGGGTCAGACATATTGAAAAATATTGAGGAAAGGCAGTGAAAGATATGAGAAGAGGTGCTTTTCAGCTGAAGAAGTATTTACAAGAATAATATTTTGTCTTTTCTTACCGCTGACACCAGACAAATACTTTTTACTCAGCACTAAAAAATCTCATCTCTTTGCTTCTCATTTTTATCTTCTTTTCACGTCTTTCTTTGGCCCCTCAAGGGCAATGTGTCAAAACATCAACCCCAAGCACCCACCGCCATGTGTGCACACCATTTAGCACCAATCAAGCATAAAACACCATCCCCAAGGCTGCACTCGAGCACCCACCGACACCACATGCTGACTGTACTCTCTAAGCACAGACTGAATGCCGTAGTAAATTAGAATTATGCAGACAGAGAAAGAAACTTGACTTGTTTTGAAATCTGGTTAGAAGGAAGGCAAAAAATATTCGAAAATGATACAATGGTGGAAATTATAAAGCCGCTCCGGCCCGCTAAGCATGCCTCCACACACCACACTGGATTGTTGAGCCAGGCCAGTTACAGCACAGCCTGGGAGCCCTTGCAGGAGTTCAGTCATGTTTGAAATGAGGTAAATAAAGCTGGCTGCATCTGCATCTGAGGTTCGCAAGAAGTCTCCACCTGGCTGCTGAGATTCAAGAGACACGGGTCGAGGAAGATCTGTCACTGTGCTTGAATTATGCAGCGGCGTTACAGGGATTAGAGGCAGAGTCGGGGTGAAGCAGAGGAGCTCAGGCGCCCTCCACCCTTCATCCTTCATCTGTTATGCACCGCGGCACCACACCTGTTAATAAAACATATTCCAGCTGGACTTTGATCACTTCTGCCCTGCAGAGGTGGAGAAGGTGCCAGATTAACTACAGCGAAACTCTATCCTGTTTTTTAAGAAGGCGCCCGTCTGCTCCCATGATGCATGTTGCGAGTTTCCCCTCAGAGTAGGAGGGCGCGTAAAGTACAGACACACAAAGGCTTTTGTACTGCCCTGAGAACATGTTGATCCATCTGATATGACAGCTTTAATTTTGACTCATAAGGGTGTCGGTGCCTGAGGGAGCAGGCTGTCACTGGATGTGACAACATTAAGAGTTTGACCTTTTCGATGTCGGTACTCTGTTCATGCTGTGAACATCAGCAGCACGTGGCTGTCAGCAAATGTAGAGAGGAAGCACTCAGGCCAACAGAGGGCTTTACTCACAGTGATTTAAAGCAGTCAATAGTGCACGTTAGGTTGCTGAGCAGGCTGGATACTCAGTGGGAACTAACTGTCACTACATTAGAATGCTAGGAAAACTAGCACAGTATGAATGTGATGCTCAGTAACAAAAAAAGAAAGAAGAAAAAGCTCAACAGCTTTTTGATTGAAAGAAATTTTCCTCCAACTCACAACATGAAATGATTTGAAATGTCGAGCTGCCACAATGTGGTTGTAATTGACTCAACAGAAGAATTGAAAGAAATACTTTTCCAACTGGAATATTGTCTCTTGTTCAACATTTCATATCCACGACAAGAATTTTGCGGGTCAGAAATTTGCCTACGTATTGAGCAGAAAATGTTTTGGCTGCGGGTTTTTGGCTTTTTATGCCTGCAGTTTGGTTAAAGCTGTTAAAATGTTTCCCATCCTCGGGAATAACGAGACCTTCTCTTGCTGGGATTTTGAATGAGAGTCTCCTCCATGCTTGATTTGCGTTTGACACCGTGCTTACAAAACACACAAGTCACACTATCACATTCAGTTTCCTCAGTTCACAGCATCCCTTCACACACACACACACTCACTGACACATACGCACACATTAAAGTCATTTTATGCCGGCTAATTGTGATACACTGTGGATATGGGAACCAGATGCCATTCCCAAGTCAGTTTTCCAGTGTGGTTTTCCTATCCCTGCCTAACCTCTGCGTCCAGATTCCCCCGACAAGCACCAGCCACTTGTGGTCGTCCGCTCCTGCCCATTCTGCTCTGATTACTCACATCCCTGTCCACCATTAGTGTCCCGCCTTGAACAAAAAAAGTTCCCCCGGGGCCCTCAGTAATATGATAGAGGGTTCCCTTGCAGAACTAACAGATGGAGGTGCACGTTTAGATATATAGTCATGCTTTTACTGGATGTGTTTCACTCTGTTCCAGGTTAGTGTATGTTTGAAACTGAGCAGATTTCTCTTCCAATGGTGCCTGCAGGTTTTTTTTTTTTTTAGCTGCAAAAGTCTGAATGTGCATTTTGCAGTTGCCTTCCACTATTTCCACTCTGGCAAGTATGTAATTGATTAGATTTGTGTATACAGATGGGACATTTTACCTTTGGTAGGAAGTTTAGGCGAAAAGTTGCAAAAATAAATGCTACATTTTTTTCCTTTGACCTGCCAAGGGTTTGCGGATATAAATTTGCTTCAAGCTAACTCTGGTTCAATGCATTAAATGGCAAAATGTATGTTAAATATTGTACAAGATCCTTTTCCAAATACAATTAATTAAATACAAAGTAATATTGATAATGGATATCTTGTCAATTTCAGTCTTTTTCATGACCAGTTAAAAACACCTAGCTTTAAAGGAAGTTTGAAGTTTCTTGAAGAGAGTTTGTGGAGAAGATTGACAACACTCATGTCTGTATTTGAACGTTAAGCTAGAGGCAGCTTTATAGTTATCTTAACTTAGCACAAAGAATGCAAGATGGCAGCTAGCATGCCGCTGCTCAGAGATCACAAAATCTGCCTCTCAGCTCTTCTAAAGCTCTCTTGTTACCTCAGGAAATGACTGAAGTGTCTCAGAGTTTATACGCTGGATGTGCTGATCAGGTAGCTTGAGATCGGAACTGAACAAGAACAGGATCCGGCCAATTTTTAGCTGAAGCTCCGCTCAGCCACCAGAAGGGATTTTGGTTGTTTCACTTGGTCCAAACCGTTATTCAGTCCAGAT